TATTAAACATTATTACGAGCAAAGATATTTTTTTCCGGTATTGACTTAATATCCAAGGAAGTTATCCTCCTAAGGGGAAATTAGTGTGGGTACACTTGATTTTTATTTGGCTCTCTTGATCCTTTGGCCTTGCCTATAATTCAATCTTTTAGGCTTTGGGGTAATTTTCCGCCATGCCGTCTTTTTTTTTGCTGCTAGCAAATGACTGGAAAAAATGGGGTCAAAATCTTGTTCGAGTAAGCGGGGGTTTCGCTTAGGGTTCGAGCACTTAATTTTAGTCACGCGCGTTATCGTCGTGGGGATAAATGAGCCAAGCGCTTGGTGTCTTTGTACAAAATTTGTGCAACATGCCCTGACATCCGTTCCGTGTTTTTGGATTTGGGGTCATTTTCCGCCGTTCCATGTTTTAGGATCTGAGGTCATTTTCCGCCGTTCCATGGTCTAGGATCTGAGGTCATTTTCCGCCGTTCCGTGTTTTAGGATTTGGGGTCATTTTCCACCGTTCCGTGTTTTAGGATTTGGGGTCATTTTCCGCCATTCCGCCATTCCGCCATTCCGCCATTCCGCCATTCCGCCGTTCCGCCGTTCCGCCGTTCCGCCGTTCCGCCGTTCCGCCGTTCCGCCGTTCCACCGTTCCGGCTTTTAGGGTCGCCCTTCAGTGAAACCTTTTTTTGGGTAGACCTCGGCCTTGAGAGACCAGCAAGGGACTGGGTATGAGTTGAGTAGTGATAATGGCGGTCACATCGGCTAATTGTAGTGCGTTAGTTGGTTACAAAGTTGGCGAAATATCCAAAGCATTACATTCAAGAACTGAAAGTAAAACAAGAGCAGGTGACAAACTCAATTCCTTGTTCAGTTCAGCTAAAGTAATTCAACCTGAATTTGAGGCAATTGGTCCAAAGGTAAGAAATGCTACTAACTAACAAATAGAGTCATTGCTGCTATACGTCTGTTCAGGAGGGGATCATAGATGAATTCATGTTGTCATGCTTCTGATCAGTAATAGATCACAGATGATGTCAAATTGTGTTGAGAGCGAAAAAGCGGCAGAAAAAGCTGAGAGTGTCACTGATGATGTCTTCTAGGATCTGTTACTGCACAGAACCACGACATCATGGAATCTACTTATTTTTTGGATAAAAAAAGAAATATTTTGTCAATGGTGAAATCATCTATGTGTATGTCCTTCAGATATATGCTTCAGCTTATCAAATAAATAGCTTAAAGATGCACAATTGTACAGATACTTTATGGTAAGAGGGGGAAGAGAAATTTGAAGATATTACATTGTATGTGAAGTACTTAGGCAGTAAATTAGCCAGTCATATTACTAGGCTGTTAGGCTTTAACAAGAATTTGATAATCATTTGTAAAATTTTGTTTCATGTTCTTCATTCAGACATGTAGAACACCTTCAAGGGATGCTCAGAATTTTAAGAGAAACTTTACAGATTGTGAAGAAATTGGAGATCTACATCAAGGTATTATGAGTTATGTTCAGGTTCAAGAGTGGCTATATAGGATTCTGTAAAGTAGGTCCTAAGCTATTCTCTCACCCATGATACAAATTATGAGGGATGATAATACATATTGTGACAATGAGAACGACAAAGTATTGGGACATAGTGGTATAAAGCAAGCATCTCCTGGTGGGTAAGTGCACTTTCCTAGCCTGTGAGTTATCATGGCTTAATCTCTTACAAAAATCACAAGA